GTAGCCGTAGGTAAAATTGAAAAATGAATGGATTTTCAAAAGAACTTTTATTGAAATATACTTGAGCATGTAAAGTACTATAACATTAACCCGAAAGATTGCCAAGCAACACACACAATATTTTTATAGTTCATAATGTGGCTTAAGACTAACACGTGCAAGTTATTATAAAACTATCCTATTCCAAAGGCGATTACTTAAAACGGGTGTTACGTTCCCTCATGCACGACTCTGCATACTATTAATTTGATACCATTACACACTCGATAAAGAAAAACTTGCGTTTGCGAAATTAAACTCCTGCAAAGCTCTGAGTCAGATGTACATTTTTCGAGAGGAAAATTACTATTGTTATTCAACTTAGTGTTTAGAAAGGATTACTACAAATTTTTTTCCATGTATACACATTAGATTACATCAGGGCATATCATAAAACTTTTTCTCGATATTGATAAAGAATTTAACTTAAGAGAAAGAATCTTAAAAATTGTTGTGGAAAACAAGAAAAAAAATTAGGAAAACGGTTGACCCTGAAGGCCATTCCTGCAACTTCCCGCTAATTCCATACCTGGACGCTTAAAGTTGCACTTATGCCGTTTTTGAGCACTTCGAGCTCAAAAATACAATTTATGTGTTGTTTTGAGCTCTCCGAGATCAAAGAGATAGCTTTTTTTATGCTTTTGAGCTCTTCGAGCTCAAAAGTCTGATGGAAGTTTCATATAACACCATTTTTCGAATTTTCAAACCGCAATAACTTTTGAATGATTCATCCGATTTTCTCGCGGTTGGCGGCATTCGAGGCAGTTTTCTAAGCCTCATAAAGAATCTTTGAGTTTGAATCAATCGAACTAGAAATTTCGGAGTAATTTCAAAAAAACACTTCTTTCGGTTTTCTTTCCTGCACGATATCTCTCGAAGGAATCAACCGATTTTGATCGGATTAGCGGCGATCGACGCGGTTTTTTAAGGTTAAGAGCTGATTAGTTTTTGGAGTTGATCGATAAAGCCGTTTAAAAGTTGTTCAAAAAAACCATTTTGAAGAAAATTTTTTTTTAGAGTTTTTTTGCGATTTCTCGAAATCTATCGGTCCGAATCGGTCTAAATTGTATTCAAAATCTAAGTTTGGCCAAGCTTTTTCGAATGGCACCAACCGCGATGAAATCGGTCAAACCATTCAAAAGTTATAGAAGGTTTACATACTTACATTCACACACACACACACACACACACACACACACACACACACACACACACACACACACACACACACACACACACACACACACACACACACACACACACACACACAGGGTCCTAACCACTAGACGATCACAGCCACTATGGAAACAAACAAGAGTGAAAACGGGCCGCACGCCCAACAAGCAGCTATTGAAGCAGGTGCGTAAATGAAGCGGACGCAAGCGTTGGAACGCCTCGAGAAATTGACCAGTGAGTTAAATGATTTCGTCCAGTCAAAGGTCAACATCCACAAGGAGATAAAAACAAGACGACTAGTGTAGCGAACGCACT